ACGTAGTGCACTTTGGACGGAAATTGCTATATGCACTACGCTGAGAGCTCATGCCGCTCGGTGTTTTTTTTTTTTTTTTTTAGTTTTCATCGCAAAAAAGAAATATAAATATCGCCAAATGCCTCGTCAAAACAACGTTCAAGAAAAAAAAGAAAAAGAAAAGGGTAGGATCACCGCGATTCGAACCTGCGTTCACTTGCGTATGAAGCGGAAACGCTAACCACTCCGCTATGCCACCGGTTCGAAAACTCGTTGTGATCATTCATTTTATACGAGACAAACGTAGTGCATATAGCAATTTCCGGCCGAGCTGCACTCCGGAGTGCATATAGCATTACTCGTATTGTAGACATAATAGTCAAAAATACTGAGCGAGCATATAGCACTTTAGCGTTCAATATCTCTGTGCAGTTTTTGTTATACTTTCAACGTGAAGTAACTTTATCACATAATTCAAAGCGCGTTTAAAATAGAGAGAGAGAAAAAAAAACCTGGAAATTGAGATGATGCTGCAGCAATGAACCTACCTGCCTTCGTTGTACACAGACCCAGAGGTCTTCCACCATGTTGTCCTCCACGCGGCGTTCCTTTGGAAGTCGGTCGATCCGGTGAAAAGAAGCATCCGAGAGACCGTGCGTGTCGATGTCTTCGTCTGGAAGCACGAAGCAGATGTCAATATGAAGCCAAATAAACCGCACTGTGTATGTCTGATAAGTATAAATTATAAAACAGACAACATATGTAGGTCTGAAATTAGGAATAGAGTTACGCTACCGACCATGCGAATAGATAGCAGGGCTGCACGCACCCCAGAGCATACGCAGAATGTTCTCCTCCACGTTGTGTAGCGGCGTAGACGCGTCGTCGCAACGACTGGATGCCTCTTGCTTCGGCATGGTTAAGAACGGAACAGATTCCAAGACGGTGGTGTAAGGCAAGCCCCGGACGGACATCCGACGTCGACCAACCACGTGACCCTAAGGTTCGGAGGAATGACCCAGTTTTTCTACTCCACCCTTCTTCAACGAATCGGGAGGTACGCAGACCGATTTCCCTCTCCTGTCCGCAGCCGAATGGCGAAGGTCGCTGTGATGGGCGAGGGTTTTGGGGTTCACTGCGCGCCGTGACCCCCGAGCCTATAGGGAAGGGGAAACTGATTCCTCGCAAAGGGAACAAAGGAGTGTGTTAGTTTAACGATAACTGACGCTGAAAGAATGAAACACACACGTGTGACGAACGACCAATTCCTCGCGCCTCGGACTTGTGTTGTTTTATGTGTTTTCATTCCGCCAGGAACCAAGAAAACACGCTCGAAGGTGAACCGAGCACTTACCCAGCACTAGTATGTTTTCTCAACTGAAGTATGATTAAAGCACTAACCAAAGTCTCCAAAAGGTTGTGAATTTCGATTATATTAAAAATGGGGTTGCAGTTTGAAATCTCAGTCAGTACATTCCCAACCAGATATATTTCTGCCAAGATGCATTCACGTGACCTCACTTCAGTGTTCTTTCTGATGGCCAGAAGCAAATTGTTAACGCAGTGCAAGCTACCCTCTGACGCCCACTTTCCCACATTATGTCTGACAAAGTAACGTGCAAGCTGTAGTTAGATAGTTTATTTCGATGCCTATGAACAGCCGAGAGGCCCACAGGACAGTACACTTTGTCGAATAAGACTCGCTGTTCTTGCCAAAGGCAGAGTAAAAGAAAGTGAAATAAACGTCATCAAAATCGAACAAATCAAGTAAGATACGGCAGAAGTGTGCGTCAGACGTATAGTGTTTTAGCGATACAAAGTGCATTAAAAATGTCGTACTCCAAAATTTTTAAATTGTGTGCCTTTTGCGGTTGTAGCACGATTGCCCCGCGTGCAGACTACCCTGTTGCAAAAGCCCCGCATCATTAGCCCCACGTTCCGAAAATCCGGTGTTCAATTTCCCCGTCCCGTATTTTTTCCGGTGCCAAAAAACCCCGTCCTTGTCTCTTGTGGTAGTAGCACGATTGCCCCGCCCCCGTCCCAGATTCGTGCTTCAACCAGCATTGTTTTATGTCTTAACCTCATCTGTTGAGGGTCTACAAACGGACTTTTAAGTGAAAGGGACAACAAAATAAAATTAACTTGAACCGCGAAAAAAAAAAAAGCTTCGAATGACGTAGTAGTGGCCAATTGCATAAATCTGCACAACCAGTGATGCACACCGCTGTCATAGAGGTAATCTCAGACGTGAATTATAAACTTAATCTACCTAGATGGATGGATAAAAATATATTTTGGACGACGTAAAAAGAATGAAACTGGTGTTTAGTGCTGCACGTAACAAATGTGCGGCGCCATGAGCTGCGGGTTAACAGTTTTGGCAGGACCCTCTTCGACGGAACTGTGAAGCCGCGCGTGCTTCAGAGTCGAAGAAAGCTTTAATTCAATGCTTATTCATAAAAACGAACTTTAACTATTTTTCACCGGTGACTGGTATTTTCTGTTTTCAATTCTATTGTCTCTATACGAGAATGCATATAGCGCACGCCTGAAGAAGATTATTCAGTTATTAACCTTAGGAAGGGGTAATTATTATTTACCGAAATTGCAAAAAGCGTTTCATGGCTCCTTTAAGTCCTCAACAACGTAATATCGTTTTTTTTGTAATTTGGTTTTTCTTTTTAATTTGTTTTTGATAAAACAATTTCACCACCTATCAGCACAAAAACAAACAAATTAGTCGTTACTTGTTTATACAGCAGGAGTTTAGTCTGCCAGAACATGGCGAAATTGTTACCCACTGTAGATGAGCAATTTAGCCAGTGCGGTACAACCGCTAGCCTAGGGTCTTTAACGTGCACCACGCAGTAGTGATACACGACCGCACGCCGGTACGATGCTCATCCAGATCGAAACGGGCAGGAGTGGGGCTCCAACCCAGGATCCCTGGGTTCTGCAGCGCGAGCTTTCGCTCCACGCGCGTCGAGCTGGGTGTGCGCTTTAGCCCACTCGGCCACCGATCCCCTATCTAGCACAGCTTGGTCATAGCTCGCGAAATCCAGTTGGTAGTCGTACGTGATGAGGAATAAACAACTAAAAAAACTCGGACAGCGACAAATGAACGCACATGACAGGACAAAGCTGTACTCGAAACTGTAGAATTTAAAATTTCCGTACCTGATGTAACGACACGCATTAGAATTGTACCGTCTCGCCAACTTGCTAGCATTTTGAATAAAAACACTGTCGTTCCCGTTCCTCCATTCACTCGGGAATTAATCGAACTCAAACTGTGCAGGAAATACAAATATATTCGAGCGACATCTCTTCCTTTCCTGGCTCTCTGAGACAGTCCTTGTACTTTAATAGTGTCCAGAAGGCGAGAGTCCCGAAGTCCTTGCTTGTATCTTTGACAGTTCCTCCTGCTGAGAAAGAAACCGTGCAGCCGACGGGCGTCCTTGACCGAAGGGATCCTAGCCTATACTTGGTTTCAGCTTCGGTCCGAGCGCGGCCGATGTTATGAGCCGAAGGGCCAATCAAACAGCGCAAAAAGCGCAGCGTCATGGTGTGCTCTCTGCGCTTGATAGGACTAGCCCGCGTAGGAGCGCGCACAGAGAAACGGCGAATACCAGCTGGTCCTATCAACTGCAGAGAGCACGCAATGACGTTGTGCCTCTTTCGCTGTTTGATTGGCCCTTCGGCTCATAACATCGGCCGCGCTCGGACCGAAGCTGAACCGAAGTATAATAGCGGAAGTGTCGTACAGGCGATCAGCATAAAAAAGCTGAGAAGCAAAGATTAAAATGAAACGCGAGTCAAATGAAAACAGAATAGTATAAGCTATGTGAATACGTTATCTACGTTTCGAGCGGAAATGTATCGTTGACGTAAGATCAATGAGCTAGGCGGATGCCATTTCTAGCGCTCGGGACATGGGGACGGGGGGCTCGCAGCTGGTTGACTGCGCGCCGCGATCGGCAAGTCGAGGGTCGCATGAGGCCCGCGGGCCCCGTGTTTGAGACCCCTGATCTAGATATTTCATTCTTGCACTACATGACACTTTTTTTTTGCCGCAAGAACGAGTTTTTTTTTTCTCACAACGCCAAGGATAGTTTGCTGAAGTCAACGGCGGTTCGCTATCATGTGTCAGGGAACCATTGTTGGCGTTATCAGGAAAGGAGCAGTCGTACCCGCGGGAAAAAATGAGTCGCGTAGTGCAAGGGTGAAAGATCTAGACTATGACGTGTTACTTAGTTGGCGGGTGTGGCCATCTGTGTTGTAATCAACTAAGATACTATGCATGTTTTCGTTATGCAGTTTCTTCTATTAAATTTTAGTTGCAAATACAACTTTGTCCTGTCGTGTGTGTGTTTTTTTTTTTTGTGTTTCCCGCGTTTTGAGTTGTTTTTACCCATCATTACAACGATTTTTTTTATTTATTTCATGGGGCTAAATTTACCTAGCTAATAAAGTAAAAAAACAAAAAAAAAAAAAAACCACCGCCATGAGTGCATGTTCGAAGGGCGTGAGTGCCCTTGGGAAGCTTTTGAAACTATTCTATTGTATTCTATAATGAGAGAGGGAAATGTAGACGGCACCCTTCAAACGGAACCGGAATTTCCTTCCTCTTTCGTTTCGTCGTATTGACCGAAAAGCAACAAAGCACTTGTTTTGTTTCGTTTAAGTTCGTAGATGTGGGCGTTTATACTGGGACGGTGACCTTAACCGTTCCTCACCCGCTGTTCCACTTTCTGTTCCCCATTGTAAAAACCCAGATTCCCGACTAGAGAACAAAGATACTCTCCCTCCCTCTCCAGACAGCGATCGGGGACAAGGTTCGGTACCCCTCGCCCTCTTTAGTATGAGGTCAGAAGGTGAGGGAAAACTCAAAGCTGGTGCAAGCTTCTCATCAAAGGCTTCGAAAAGTCAAGGACAGTCAGTTGAGGCGGCTATAAAAGGAACAGAATGTAGATATTTTCTCACATACCTGAGCAGAGCGAAGTGCTGCTGTGAACCACTAGATGGAGAACCAAAGTCCAGTCGACCGTTGCGCCGGAGGACATACGTTGAGGGACAAGATTCGAGGACTTTTAGAAGGTATGTTACTAGCGTGTAGTTGTTGTTCTACACTTCCCATGCATGTCTTTTGAGCGGATAATCTTTAGTGCGTTTGAGTGTTATCTTTTTTTGCTCAGGTTTCTGCGAAGTTTACCAACTCGCTTGTATCGTTTCTCTTACATCCATCATTCAGTGGACTTCTCGTTCTTTTATTTCTTGTTTCTATTTTCGTTGGGCCAACGTGATCTTTTTAGTGCCTCGGGGCGTCATTTTTTGAAGTATTGCCGTGATTTCACTACTCGAGCTCGAATGCTTATTTATTTGTAATTTTCTTCTTCGATTCAGAGGAAAGCATGGTAGGCTTGTACGAGTTCTCAGTCGGCCGATCAAGACGACGCTACCACGAACGCGAGAACGAGTCCAGCCGTATGTTCAGGAGAACACTAGAGACGAAGCACGAACTGGAAACGGTATGTGCACTAACATCTACTAGACCTATTGTCGTGCTGATTGTGTTTGCCAGAACTGAGATTAGCAATTGAGCCTTTCCTGGATTAGCTTACCATACATTTTTGTTTACGAGCAGTTGCCCATAAACCAATCGTAATCCGTGTGCGTCTCATAAATCTTATTAATCCTTTCATCTTCCAGTTCCAGGCGGAGCGGTCTAAGTCGCAGTCTGTTATTGCAGCCAAGTACCGAGACGTGTTCGGCAGTTTCTGGGATATGCCGTCCGCCATACCTCCCTTGTCCCCTGAGACGTGCTGCGCGCCACTGTCGCCAAGCCGCCCGTCTCCAGGCATGCCGCCACAAGGACCGGTGCCTTCTCCTGAAACACCGTCGCCCGAGGCCGCACCTGAGAGGCCTCCAGGCGAGACGTCTCATGGACACCGACCACGAACCTCTGGGAGGCCCTTCCGGTTCTCCCGCTCGGACCTTAGTCCTCTTTCGCCTCCAGCACCCACGCCGTCCAAGAAAGGAATCGGACAGAGGCTGGCGTCTTTCTTCCGGGCCACCAAGGCCAAGAGGACACCGCGCAACCAGCGCTTCTTCACTCGCGGCTACATGCCAACGTGGAAGGTAGGTTCAAGGACTCTCATCAAGTTGCAGTGGATCGCGCTTCGTGTCACTACTCATGGTGCATGCGCAGTTAGAATAAATCGGTAGTGATTCTATGGTGAGCGAGAGCTGGGGGTCCGGAAAAGGTCTTGTTGCAGTGCTGTGTGTTGACTTGCATTGTTCATTAACCGTTAACTCTGGTAGTGTGAGCGGTTCAAATGTTCAGATTCGTAGCTCTTTCTTCATTGCTTCTTGTGGTCGTTGTTGAGCGGCGCGTCTCCACGTCTGCCCTCACGACGGATGCTAACCCCAAGTCTCTTCCTTTGCAGCTCGCGAGCCCCATGCTGGGACGTCGTAGCGGTTGCCGCTTCGCTTCCTTGCGCGACCGAGTGCCAGCCCTCATCCGCAAGTCGCTGCGCCGCCGGTCCTACGGCTACGCGGTCAACCCACTACCACGTGTCTAGATGCATTCCCACTGCCGCAAATATGCACGGCGGTTGCCTTCTCTTCTTCTGCTCTTCACCAGTCTGTGTGAAGTCGTTGTTCTTGCCATTTTGCGAAGAATAAACGCGGATGAAGCATATTTCACTGTGTCCATCTTTTATAACCGTGCCCACGTGTTCATACGGTGACAGATCATCGGTGATCATCCCAAATATTCTGCCCTTTACTCTTCCGCAGCACCTGCCCCCCCCCCCCCCCCCCCCCCTCCCCTCATCAGGCGTTATACAATGCTCACCCTGAGACCAGAAGCTTTGTCTTCAGCTTTTTGCCCGTGATAGTGCAAGAGTGAACGCGCAGGCTCTGCGACGTTCTCCACCGAGCTCGCGCTGAAGACGGAGCTATACTTCGTTTCAGCTTCGGTCCAGACGCAGCCAAAGCTACAACCGCGAGCTCCGGGCTTTCAGCATCCCTGCCAAGCACGCGCGCTCGTGCAGTGCAAGCACTGTTCTGGGCCACATGCTCGCGCTTGTAGCATCGGCTGCGTCTGGACCGAAGTTGAAACGAAGTAGACTAGTCTCAACTTAAAGGGCCCCTAGAAAGAAATAAAGAATATTTTTGTAAACAGTTTGGTTCAGACACGCGTGCCCAAAAATTTACGCGAAAAAATAATTTTTAGACGCCCTTTAGATGAACGGAGGAGGCTAACAAACGTGACGTTTCCGCATTTGCGGGCACAATCCCACTAGGCAAAACATTTAATTGCTTACGAGTTCTTAATAAAATAACTCGTACCCTATTCCGTCTTGGTACGAGCTTACGTAATTTGTAGATGTGATTCGGAGGTAACAGATATCAAGAACTACTTATGCCAGTGAATTCATGATTGATACTTATTAAGAACTTCAATCCCTTTTTTTTTGTCAGATTACAATGAAATTTAGGATGTAACCGTCACCCATTTTCGTTCTGTATCCTATATATATATATACATATAGTTCTTTCTTTTTTTTTTTTACTATTTAAGGTGCAATTTTTTTTTTTACTTTTTTTTTGTCGCCCATGCTGGATATGCTTACCAGGTATTGGGGGACGAGAGGGAACGAAAATAATGTATGGGCAACATATGCTAGTTCTTTTATAGATTGCCTGATTTTTTTACAGTTTTGGGCGCAGAAATTTATAACCTCGCTGATATGTGCGTTCCGCTTGCAATCAGCTGAAAGCGTGACGCCTATATATTTGAATGTTTGTACGTTTGATACTCTTTTAATGCCCAATAAATATTGAGTTTCAATTTTATTTTTATTTAAATTTCGGGTCAAACTAACATGAACACATTTCTTTACATTGAGCTTCATTTTCCACTTATTGCACAGTTGAGTCTCTAATCAAGTCACCCTGCAACTGTTCTCCTGTTTCGTTAGATATCCGTCAATGATAATCATTTGCAAACAATCGTACCTTTGGACTCATTCCGACATTAACATCACTGACGAATATTAAAAATAACAAAGGCCCCAACACGAAGCCTTGCGGCACGCCAGATGTAACGGCAACAAAGTTAAATGTAGCTTTTTTTTAGGACAACGCATTGAGGACGCAAAAATAGATACTCCCTTCTCTACTTGAAGAAATTAGCCGATTGAAATAAGTTTCAGATTACGATAATGAAACGCTTGTCTATACAAACTCGTTTCTTGAGGAGACGAACGGAAAGAGGTGTTCCACATAAGTCCCTGCAGGCAGCCGGCCTCATGACCTGTCGGTCTCATTACTCTAGAAACTTGTCCAACTCTACCCTAGAGCAGATATGACAACACAGTAAGGAGGAGGTACCTCTCAGGAGGAAATTAAGCGCTCTAAGTTTACAGCGCTTTAGTTCTTTTAATAAGGCCGTAAGGGATCGCGCCTGTTCACTTTAGCCCGGCAATGCTTTTTCCGACTGCTGAACGAGGCAAGTGCAAGTTTATTAGCACACTCGACTTCAAAGCTAAAAACGTCAGGAGAATAACTTGCGCTGCAGAGCCCAGGAATTATCGACTAGAACGACGCTGCCGACCGTTTCGATCCAGATGAGCATCGTACCGTGGCGTGCTAAATTTTTCACCCACGTCGGAAACACCAGGCGCTTCTTGGGGTAGTTTAACTTTCCACTGGCTACACATCTAACAACAGATTAAGTACTTAGGGTGTATTTGCACATTTCCTTCACAGAAATGAGACATTATCGCGTTTCGAAGTCACGTGCTTTACGTCACGAATTCTCGCTAATCCCCGTACTACGACACTCCGCCGAGAGTAGGGGATTGTCCCACCGCTCCGGCGAGAACATATTATGGCGCCAAAGGAAAATTCGATGTTTTTTGTAAAAAGCATGGTGAAAGTGTGAAGTCGTCGCCTTCTTGCACCAACAACGACAACAACGTCAACTTTGACGTTGTTTGTTGAGAATGCAGCGACTTCAAGCATCCACCATGCTTTTAACGAACTAATCGGACTCATCGTTCGACGCCATCTTCCTTCCTCACCGGAGCGATGGAACAGTCTGTAGGAAAGGAACAGTCTGCCCTCCCTGTAGAGTACGCGGATTACCAAGCGTCGGTGACGTGAGCCAAGTAACCTCAAAATAGCGTGACGTATATTCCTCTCCCTGGAGAAAATCCTCGTGTGAGTACACCACAAGAGCAATATGACACTGTCAACTTTCACGTTGCTGGTGTAAGAATGCGACGACTTCAAGCTTCCCACATGCTTTTTGCACACGCCATGGAACGTGTCGTTCCACGCCATGCATGTACTTTTCTTTCCGGAACGATGGGGCGATCCTCGAATCTCGGCGAAGAACGGGGATGAGCAGGCATTCGTGATGCGGCGCACCTGACCTTGAAGCGCAATGACGTTTGCTTCTCTCTCTGCAAGAAATCTCCGTCGTCTGAACACACCTTTACGATCTTAACCATGAGAGACACGTGGAGGCGTGGGAAAGCCGGTTCTCGAATGCAGTGCTGCATAAAACTAACTTCGACCTTGCGAACATTTAGCGTTACGTTCCCTTAACCCTACCGTATTTACACGCCGACATTGCTCAAAGTAAAATTAGGTAGATAACTTGACAGGCTGGGTTGTGATCAGAAAGTCAAGACTTCACCATGCAGTTGGACCAATAGGAACAGGAATGGCACAGAAAGTGCCAAAAACGAAACGAAGATAAGAAGTCTGAAACGAACCATCAGGCTTGGCGTGCGTGGAGAAGGGATAGTTGAAAAAGAGCGAAATTCTGAGCAAGGCCTCTTTGCGCATCGATAATAACTTGTTTCCCCAAGTGCCCTGGTATCCCGCATAACTTTCAGATGGGAATATTTATAAGCTTTTTATCGTTATAAAACAATTTCAGAAGATTTTTTTTTTATCTCAATGCAGGCACAAATTTGGAGTCCAATTTTTTGTAATTTTTTTTAATGAAAGACGTTTACAATTTTCTTGTAATGCCGCATTAGAGCGCAGCTCTTGAGGAGGAAGAGGGGAGAGTATGCCCATGTGACGTCACGTGTGACGTCACGTAGTTACGCCGATAGCAACGCCGCTCAACCCGGAAACAGGCGCCTAAAACTGTGCTCTAAAAAAAAGGCATGTTCTAGGATAATTTTTGAAATGAATGACAGCACAAAGAGCAAGCTTGGCGGATTTTGTTTCGCTTTGAAGTTATTGTTTATTGAAGCTGCCAAGGCGAAAACTGACGTTCCTTTTACCTGTCGGAGAATGCTCATTTTCGCCCAAAGGTAGCGCCAGCGTTCAAAACCAACTGCCAAAGTTTTATCACTAACCGTTACTTTATTCGACATTTTCTTAAAACTTTTAATGAAAAAATACCGGCCGACCGACCTCTCGAATGTATCTTAAAATGGCAGTTTCCGAAAACGCGCAAGAAATGGGCACAATTTTTTCAATGAAATTAAAAAAAAAATTCACATATAACTTCTGAATAAAATAACGGTTCGTGCTGAAACTTTAGCATGTGGTTCGCACCTGTAGCGTTACATTTGGGCGGAGAATAAAAGCTCATAGATGCGGAGTTTATTTTGGCTGCGAAAACAAGCGAATATTCGGGCGGTACACGCTTATGTGAATGAGCGAACGTTTCAAATACTTAGCAAATTTGAGAGCTATTCTCATCAAAACACGATTTTTATTTGCCTCGTGTAGTACTAGTAATAACGAATTATTGCGTTTCATCAGACAATATAAATGCAAAATATTGTATTTTGTTGGTAGGACTGCAATTGAAACTTGAAACTTGTCAGGAGTGCGTTAAGTGCACTGCGTTCTCGCATAGGTGATATTCTGGATAATATTGTTGCATTAATAAGGTTAATTACCTAAAAAACGCTGAACACGTATGTCTAAAAATACGTGAAATTCTGAGCGATTGTAAGTATATGTTATTTTTATTCCGCTTGCCGTTTTCCAACGCACATTAAAAAAAATTCAAGGTTTATATTCGGTTATATACGCCTAATACTATATGTCTTTTTACATTTCATGATAGATTACGATAATTCCTTTGTAAATGAAGCAAATACATACAGGGCATTTTTATTAATACAAATAATATCGAGAATGTATTAAATAAAAATAGCTTCATTTGAACTTTCTGGTGATATCAAGGTAATTAAAATATCAATAGTCCTCACGTAAGAACTTACCGAAATCACCAACGGGCGATCGTTAGACATTTTATTTTGTTACATTAAAACACGAACTTTACTTTTTATTTAATCTATCATTATAAAATTTATTTTGAGATTGTCAGAGAAGAGTCTTGGGTCATTGCTTGAGAAATGACAAAAGTAGCGAGCGGAAAAACTTGTGATCCCGATGGGTCGGAGAAATGTTAGTTCTGTCCTCGGCCGCTTCAATGTTGAACATGAAAAAAAATGAAAGGGTACTGAGGTTACGGGTTCTCGGGGGGGGGGGGGGGGGGGGGGGGGGGTCACGTGACCTCGGGGGAGGGGGGTCACGT